TTTTATTCAATTGACTCTTCACCATCGTCAAGAAGTTTTAGATTCCTTAGCTAGCTCCTGATTTCATTAACCCCGACTTTACATTTGTGTTCAGAACAGCGCTCATACTGGGCCCTACTACGATCCAATTAAATCTAGAACACAATCAAGTTCTGTCGATGTAGGTTCCATTTAAACATTCACTTCTCACCTATGTGTAGTTCCTCAAATTGTCACACATTCCAATTTTTTAAAATTATAATTCCGCATGAATTTCTCATTCTTCCAGTAAGACAAGTACTTTTATGCGAGAAATCTCGTCAATATCACTGAAAAAGATAAAAATAGAATCGTACAGTATCTACATAATTCTTCGTTGTAGGTGTCTTTTAAGAAGTGATTTAGGCTAATCATCAAGCGAGCATTAGTGCAAAGAGATAAATATCTGCCAAGTCATTTATCGATAATTTGGGAACGTTGTACTTCTTGGATAATATCGACTCGCTGTACGAACTCTCCCCAAGAAGATCTAAAATTCTCAAGGCGGCGAGTAGGAATATGACTGTCTTCTAGGTTCGGCGATCGCCCTGATGATGGAGGCAGCAAGGACATCTGAAACGTTGGTAAACTTCTGTCAGACTTTATTTATTTAGTGTTCTGTCTGACGACAGGTCCATATGAACAGGATCCTTCCATCCTTTTCTCGGACTGGGACCTGTTCATATACGTTCTTGGCAGATGATCCAGAACCCCCAGGATTACAAGGCCGGCGTTCTAACCGCTAGACCACCGTCAGACTACGGCGCTACAACCCAGAAGACAGCCAAATATCTCACAAAGAACGTGACTATTCATGTGAACGGAGAACGTCTGAAGTAATGCTCTGAAAACACAAAATAACAATTGCTGTAGTAGAGAGCGAACTTTGGGGATTTAGAAAATCGGGCAGAAACGAAATGTTGTTATGAATCCTCAGATGAAGGAAAATCTGCAATGTATAGAAGAATGGCGAGGTGTAGGAGAAACAGCGTCGGGTTGAAACACGGACGGACGGACGAACAGCACATGAACTCTCTAGAGTGTAATGCAGGGTAAAATGGACCCCGATGTCGGACCGGGTAGGCAAGGGTTGTGTTGTGTAAATAGCCCCTGGGGGCTGGGGTTGCATCACAGCGAGGCAGCAGCTGCTCAGACACTGTGGCACGTTAGTTCTGCACAGGTGTGTTACATTCAGCCGATACCTGAGTTACAGCCCGTGACAGGCTATTTCTCTGCAGTTATGTCATTTCAAATGCAGTTCAGTAACCTGGCGGTTCAGAAATCGATTTTCCCCTCCCAGCTAGCGAACAGTAAACTATAAACATGTGTGATGACGTAGGAACTATCAGATAATTTGGAGAATATATGTGGGATTTCAGTTTCGCACATCAATTCGTGTCTTCTGGGATGTAGCACCGCGTAGTCTGGCAGATACCGACGGACGTTTCGGAGGAACTTAATGAACTAATCGTCAGATAGTCCTCTAAAACCGTCATTTAATATCTTCCAGAGTGCATCATATGAGAAGACAATGACCTTCCTCAAAACGACATGTAGGCTCAATGTAAAGGTACAATTTGGCTGCACGCGACAGAAGACCGAGACTGGTCGCTTCCTGTCTGCTCTCTGTACAATCGTATGAAGTACAATTACGAGCGCGAGACAAAGACAGGCGACAGAGACAAAGCACAGGAGACCGCTCTCGGACCAGTAGTGTCTCGCGACGGGCTCAGGCAGCACGTCAGTGCGTAACCAAACTGCTTATGATTCAATCTGAAATAACTCCTCAAATTATCTTCTTCTAATGATAAATGATTCTTTATTAACAGACAGAAAGATCCTTCTTCACGTCTGGTTTTCAATATTGAACTCCTATGTTTTCTTTGTTTCATTCTCAACAAATCACACAGCAACACGTCATCTTCTTCTTATTCTTCGATTAACCTTTTTAGAAGCATTTTTGTACTCATTTTTCACAGAATATGTGCACGTATGTCTCAACAAAACAAAGAAAACAAACACTTTGCCGCATGTCTCGGTCGTCACCTCAAAAGTGTGTGGCGACAAGCTGCGATGTGTCCGTCTCCCGTCTCTGTCGCCTGCCTCGGTCGCTTGTCTCTGTCCCGTGCAGCCAAATTGTACCTTAAGGAAGACAGTAGAGAGGGGCAGCATATTCTTAACCTATGCTCTAGATAAGGGTAGATAATATGGCCCCTACAATCCCGTTAATCCTGGTGGGTCTCGGACATTGCCTGTATGAGGTGGTAATCAAACATCGGGCTCTATAGAGCGGCATAATTTACTGTGAGATTTTAACTGTGATGTGGGGAAACGTTTTGGAAGGAGGTCACTATTAAAATAAGATGAAAGGTTAATAAAAAAATAGATTACTCAGAAACCCTGATATATAAAAAAAATCCTTTACGTGACGCATTTCAACAGGAATTTCGTCTTAGCGAAGGAATTCATTACATAAAACACATCGCACAAACCCGTTTCACCTCGATTACCAAGGTTTCGGACTTTGTCCATCGTCAAGTATTTTAAAACCTTCCTCATTTTTTTTCAACGAGTTTTTTTTGGAATTACTCTTTGCCCGGATGATGGAGGAAATTTGCACCTCTGAAAAGTCGGTGAACTGCCGAACTACATGACGTTACGTATAACCCACAACACAGCCATCTTCATTGTCTCCGCCGTAAGAACCTCAAATCTCACTAAAAACTTCCTAATTTTAATTTCATGATTTATACAGCTCACATAATATTGTTAGGACAATGATATAAAAGGGGATTATAATGGAAACTGATATGGAAGTACTATTCATAAGCTTTGTCATGTGCTCTCATATTAAGCTCATCAAATTAACGAATAATAGGTTACATTGTTTGTTCCTGAATGCTCAAATTTCATCTCCGAAACTACCCAACGGCTTTCGGTGAAATTTTGTGTTGGTCGAGTTTAATTGGGTCTCTCATCGGTAGAATCGACCCCTTATTTTAAATGAACTTGGAACAAACCTTTGTGAGTATTGTAAAAAAAAAAGTTTCATAGTTAAAAACTGGTGTATGACGTGAAGTACATGTCTCATTAGAGGCGTACAACTTCTAATTGAAACACGTTATCTCTTCGTTCCTAATTGGCTTTGTCAACAACACTGCTGTATGCAATGTGAAATACAATTATTTAGATCTCATTTCTTGAAAAGATTTCAATACAAGCTGCAACAGACAAAAACATTAAGATTTTTTTGTACAGGTAAAAGAAGGGCACAAGGAATTTTTAAAACGTGCTTGTTCGAATGGAACACGAACTTCCATTTACGTTTAAAACGAAATCATGAGAGTTTTAGGCCGCTCTAGTTTAACGTGACATTAATAAAGCGAATTTCTCCCGGCTGAGACTGCGTCG